AAGCAGAAAGAAAGCTACTTTTAGCTTGTGAAATCTGATTTTTCACATGTATTGGAGTGATATTTTGACAAGTCAGCAAAACACAAAGCAATCTTACCTCTTCACTAGCGCTGCCTTTGTTTTCAACCCCTTCGATAAATCACCTCTTCATTTGAGCCAAAAACGAAGTTCTTTGCATTTTAATGTCTGGAGCTCTCTTCTAGCAAGAGAAGCTTGCGGGATAGCACGTGTACAGCCATTCATGTCAACCAAAACATCAGGGAAAAGCTGTGGCCTAGCTAGCCTCGACTTCGTGCAACTTGGCCCGGTCTGCCTCAATGGTCCACCATATTTGCATTCGGTGTACATTTTGATCTTTTTGTGGGTTTAAAGATACAATGGTATCAAAGTTTAAAGTTTTATTTATTGTTTCATTCTCAAGAATTGACTTGCTTTGAAGTGAATCAGTTAATTGTCCTTCACTCTCAAACGAATTATCAAATTTACTTCAGTTCCACAAGCATCCACATTTCTTGGAAGATAAGCTGGTGATAGCTGGTTGTGTTCTAACTTGATTTGCGACATCTTTTTGCTGTTGTAAACAATGGTGGGCAAGGATAAGTTGTAATTCCAGTAATTACATGGTTTCATTATATGCCATGTTCACACTAAATGTAAATTATATTCAACTAAATTATGATTCAATCTATCGTACTCCATTCGATTTTCTGTTCACATCTGCGAAAATTCAAATAGACTAGGCGGGATAACCTTGCAATCTAAAGTTGAAAACAAAATGGTGCCCAATTGAACAGCTGCCATGATATTCACTGCAATACTTGATTTGGAGGCCAGAAGAAAGGTAAAGGAAGCTTCGAAGGCTAGAAGCAGGAAAATATGCCTTATGAAACAGCAACAACAGATGAGACAGGTTTTGGTCAAGCAAGCACTTACCTTTGTTTTGGCCATCCTGTTGATAGTTGTCAGTCAAACCGTTGTTAGAACAGTTTGGAGTAAGCTTCCCTGCATTGGTCATTTTCTTGCTCAAGCTTCATTCGTTTTTCTTCCAACTCCAATTCTTTTTGGGCCTGTCTTTCCTCCACTTCCATAAATAACTGTTGCTGCTCCCTTTGTACTTTGGTGAATGTTGATAATGCTTTAGAAATTTTATCCCCTTTACAAGGTTTCTTGTGTTTCTTGCTAGTAAACTCCGGACCTTTGTTGAGGTAGAAGGCTGCGTAGAAACATGTTCTATCCCACCTTTGCTTGCAATATTTCGATTCTTCACCAGGCTTATGTCGGTTGTCTTTGTGCATCTGCTCTTTTCTTAGGGAGTTGCTGCTACGTTTTCATCTTCATTGGAGAGGGATGAGAATGAAACATCAACCACACTGCCAAAGGCTTTGTCGCCATCATCAGGATATGTCACTTCGGAAATCTTTTCTTCCTCTTTAGAACTGCTTGGCATCAAGTCAACCACTCTAGGTTTTGAGGTTGGTTTGCAGCCAAGAACATGGTCCATTGGTTCAAACATCTCCCATTCTTGTCGTTGGTTTCCAGAAATTTTGTTGCCCTCACGAATCTTGTGATATTTTTGCTTGACATTGTTAATTTTATCATGACACTGTTGTGCTCTTCTCGAGTACCCTCCATTGGCCATTTCAGATATGAGTGACTCAAAGGCTCTTTGGAAAGACGTTCAGTACTGATATCCCTCTGTAGCAATTTCTTGGTGAACAGTACCAGTTGATAATCAGTATCAAACACATTTGGTGCTGTTAGTAATTCTGACTGCATTAAATATGCCTGTCTGGCTAATAGTGACAAACTTGAAGAAGGCTGATTTCCAATATTCATTATTTGTATAAGATCATTTGTAGAGCTGATCCCTTGTGTGTTATAGTAAATCAAAGATCACGAACTCATTGTAGCACATTGTTGTCCTGCATTCTGTCCAAAAACCAACTCATTACCTTGACTACATGGAGCTGCTATTGTTTTGTGAGGGTCAATGTGTGTTGGAGGGCCAGGATTTTTTTGCTGTCTCTACTTAATTTATAGTTGCAATAATTTGCTACTTGAGCCTTGTTCTTGCAAGAACACATTAGTTTGTTACAAGAAAACAATGTTAAATATCGACCTTAGATGGATGTCCTCTTCTGGCAATTAATCACTTCAGACTCTTGATGAGCTCTGTAGTCTCCAAACTTGGCAGTAACTCCAGAAACACTCCAGGGGTTAGGCTGCAGGAGTGCAACACCACATAGGCTTTGTGCTCTTCCTTGTGCTTGTCGCGGTATTTCACAGGTCCGGCAAAGTCCACGCCTATCACATTGAAGGGCGTGGTACCTTCTGTTCTTTCTCTTGTCAGAGGCGCTGGTGGCGGATTTGCAAAGGCCATGGCTTGAAAGTGTTTGCATCCGCTGCATTTTCTCATGACTCTCTTTGTCAATTTCCGGAGACGGGGTATCGAGAACTTCTCGATGCAGGACTCTCTGTACAAAACTTTCCCGTCAAGCATGACAGGTGACACAATTCCAAATGGGTCGTACACTTTAGCTAAGTTGGTCAGGATACCACGCTTTATTTGCTCGGCTGGTGTTGCAGGAAAACACACATGCAGAGTATCCTCGACCTTGTCCCAACCAATGCCTAGGAGTACACCACTTGCAGTTTTGTCATCTCAGGATTTCTTCTCACAACAGCACGATGGGGTAGAAAGAACTCTCTTCCAGTAACTTCAGCAGGTGCTCGCTCCACTACGCCTTCTTCCAGCTGTTCTCTGATCACAGCGCCATACTCGTCTAGCAGGTCAGTCTTCCTCAGCTTCTGTACAAGAGTGTTTAATCTGCGCAAACTTCCTTCCCTGTTGTTTGGTAAGGATGGACAGTTTCCCTTCCAAGGGAGCCCAGTTTTGTACCATCCTTCTGGAGAACGAACTAACTGTTCCTTGAACTCGTCATAAACAGCATTCTGATCTCCGGTTGCAGAGTCCGCCAGTCTTAATACATCAAGGGCACACAACTTCTCATAGTCAGCATTAGAGTTTACAGCTAACAAGGCAGGCGATAAGCCACCATCGGCCCCAGGCGACATAATTGTCCATCCAAATTGGGTGAACTCAGCAACAGGATCTCCTCAGCGTCCTACTCGTAACCGCTCCTCAGTGCGTATCTTGGCAAAATCATTGGCTCCCAATATCATGTGAACGGGTAGCATTTTCTTCGTGTAATCATCATCCATTCGTACTCCCTTGAGGTGTGGATTTGCTTCAATTATTTGCTTGTAGAAAGGATTCTCCAGGACCAATAACTCTCTCTTGTTTACTTTTGTAATGTCCATGTCAAGCTTAAAATCACCAGAGACAGAACTTATGACCACATCAAATACTTGCATCGTTCTTGTTGTGATACCTGTCAGCATGGCAATTTGACATAACCCTGTGGACTTGGGACGTACCTTTATTAGCTCAATTGCGGTCGATGAAGCATACGAACGGCTTGCGCCACTGTCCAGTAATGCTCTGAACTTAAATCTACCAATCTTCACAACGACAACAGGCTGAATCACCGAGGTATTCACGACACTGTTTGCTGTCATTCCAGGCTCACATGTTTTTGATTTGTTGCATAATGATGTGTCATGCCAGGCATTACAATTTTGGCATGTCGATTTGCTTTTGCAGTCTTCCGCTCTGTGCTTTGATCCTGTGCAGTTGAAACATAGACGCTTCTCGAGAAAGATCTTCTTTCTCTCGACCAAATTCACGACCTTATCACAAATGATTGCATCACGTTGGGAGTAAAATAATCTCGATTTTTCTCTCTTCTCTTTATAACCTCCCATATTGGATCTTGGATCTTCAGAGAGTGGATTATTCAAAGTCCATTTCTCCAGCGCTTCCAGGAACTGCGTAAAAGACCACTCGCTCCATTGCTCATCAATCATCGCAAGTTCATTCTTTATGACCCCCAGCTTGTTAAACGTAAATCTTACAGTGGCGTCCAATTTGTTAAGCTTTCCAAAGTTTGCAAGGATTCAACGTTAAATAGCAGAATCTCATAGAATTCG